CGAGCAGGGAGCCAGTAAAAGTGTTCGTTCCTCTGACCCTAGAGCAAGTTGGCCAAGAGCTCAGGTCTCAGTCTACCTGCATTTCATTCCTACATCAAGCAGGTACTCGCTATGTACTATACAAGTGACGTTACCCCGCTGGTTCTCAATTTCTCCATCTGGAAAAATGAGGGAAATAACAGCACCAAGATTAAGAAGGTATGTGCTGCGGGTAAGGGGAGACAGTCAACACGAAGCGCTCATTCAGTGCCTGGTCGTGGCGAACACACACCAGCGGTTCACATTCTCATTCTCTCCCTGCCATCGGGCTATCTATCACTCACTCACAGTGACCCTTCAGGGCAGGGTAGTGACGTTCCGAGACTGTAACTCTCTATGGGAGTAGAAAGCCCTCGTTCTCCTGTGGTTTCTAAACCGTCAGCCCACCTTGCAGATCACAGCTCAATGCATGACCATTGTGCCACTAGGCTCTGGGTACAGCACCCTGAGTCAGTAGTCATTCGAGGACCTGTTGGATCGCTGAGACGCTGTAGGAAGTTCAGTACTTCCCCAACAGAGTGGGGAAATCTGTTCCACGGAAGGCTTTCCTGTACTTGTTCTAAATATGCCTCTCTGTAAGTCCATCTTCTTGACATTGGCTTTTGAAGCAGCTCATAAAATGCCGTGTTTTGTACAACAGTTAAGCAAACATTTGAAGGTAGCCATTACACTTCTCTTAAGACTGCGCCTCGCCTGGTTAAGCACATTCAAATTCAAAAGCCCTTTCACAAGCTGGGTAACCTTAGTAAGAACAAGTCAATGAAAACTGATGGGCACCCTGATGGGTAGAGATTACAATGCGGTTGTTACTTCCAATGCCTGGCTCATTGTACTTGTACTGACGTGTCTGAAAACTGTGCTAGAATTTCTTTACATAGGTTTCTATCTCATCCTATAAAATAATGACTAGGTTTACCACATACAATATGCAATTATCCATTTGCTTCTTTTTAGATCACTCATTCATTTTCTAGACAATTCAGTTTAATTATGTCCTAAATTCTAAGCTAAAATAACACTGGTCAATCTATTCTTCCCATATTTAGATTTGTTTCTCAAAGAGTAGCCATGCACAGTGATGGAAAATTTGGCAATGGATGTTGGTAAGGGTGGCACTACATGACTGACATGCCACAGTGAGAAACATCAAATTGGCAAATATAATGATATATATATATATATATATATATATATATGTATATATATGTATATGACACAATTAACCTTAACTGTTAATGCCGGTTATCATATTCATTCTAATCGGTCCAACTGTAGATTAATTCTAGGTAGTCTAACTTTTCCCAACATTCTCTCACATAAAAGTTGAGCTTGTGTTATTTATAGAAACAACTTTTTTTAAAGAGCGTGTACAAAATGATGGCGCTAAGAGAAGACCCTGAGAGTTGCAAGAGTTAAAGACAACAAAGATAAACACTGTTAAACACACAATCTTGCAAGAATAATAACGTATTTGAAGACATGTGGATAGACATATAGGCCAGGCCATGGTAGGAGGGAATGTGAGTACATATCCAGGAATATACATAGGTTTGATGAAGATATTTATATTTGTGTATTTACATTTGCTACAAAGAAGCCCATGAGTGTGGTGGAACATACAGGAACAAAGTTAAGAAGACTTCTTAGACATAGCCAAATACCTGAAGAAATGAGACCCTGGACCACAAGGGCTCAGGCCCATGGTCTCAGGGGCACACCAAGGTCAAGTAGCACAGCATAATCCACAAAGACAATATTCCAAATATGACTTTAGTGAGTAGTTACTAGGGCCTTAAAAGCTTATGAGCAGCAATTGAAGGTAAAACTATTGGCCTCTCCCTGTCTGAAAGCAAAGAAAGTAAAGAAAAATCAAAGACATACAAAACACCAGTCTCCACACCCACACCCTGAGACCATCCGAATGTGATGGTGCTTGGTTATGGCTACAAACCGGTCTTCAAGAGATCAGATTGAAGGTCCTACATAGAGTAAGAGGAAAATGTGGAACATTAAAATCATGAAATAGACCAGGGAGGTGGTCACAGTTTAGGATAATCAACCATTTGAGGTCAAATGGGCAGCATTTACCTATGTATAAAGTTCAGAGGTTAGGAACAATGGAAACAAACAGAGAAAAAAATGATACAAAACACAAGGTGCATAAATTGTTGAATGGAAAATGGATCTGCTCTGTAAACCTTCACCCAATTCACAAAGTTTTTTTTTGTTTTTTAATGTTTACCTATGTGTGTTTCAAAAGAATATTATTTAAGTCAACAAAGACCCTACATACCATAAAAGTTATAGAGATACACAATGGAATATACAATTTACTTTTGAAATTCTCATATGTTTAAGATGTTCTTTTGATATGAAACATTTTAACACATTAAAGACCAGATTTTTTTTTTTACCAAGTTACCCAAGTGACCGTGTATTTTTTCAGCTGCTAGTTGTTGTTTTTTTTCATTAAACCATAAATGGGTTTACATCTCATCAACTTTTTATCATGTTTATTTGTAACTCTCAGTTTTTGAATATAAAATGTTTCACATTATGAAACAGTATTTTGCAATGTTTGCGGAACATTATTACTTTTATGAATTATAATTTTCATGAAATTATAAACTTCTTATAAAAATAATCAACATAATCCATATTAATTTGAAAAATTAGAAGAATTAGGGCTAAGAATTTCTTCATGTCTTTTTGTGTAACTGGAGACCACTTGAGCGATTTAGGTGAAGTTTTACATTTCACTGAGGATAAGTGCACAACTCCTTGCAAAACAATTCAAACAAATAGTAACTATTTGATTTAACCAAAATGCACTAAAATGCTAAATAAACAAAAAGAATTGAAGACAATCGAGTTTGATACATTCACTACTGATGTAAACACCTAAATAGACGAAGTAGTTAAAATATATCCAAGCAGATGGCATCTGAAGACAGCGTGTAGAAATCACGAGTTATCTCGCGATCCGTCCATAACAGATGGTGTGCGGAAACAAGAGTAAACTCGGGATCCGTCCGCAATTTGTTAATATGAAGACTGCCCGTATTTTGTAACATGACCTTAATCTACTTGATTTCTGGCAAAAACCAGAAATACAAAGACATGTGCACCATTCTACATGGTCTTTGGTTCAATAAGATTCTGAGTGTTTTTGATGTTATTATGTCAAGTTAATGATAATAGCACTTTCATCCAAGACATCTGAAGGAAAATCAGGAGCATTTATTGGCCATCCCACAAAGTAAATGATTCCAACCAGAGTATCATCTAATGAGTATTAGTCTAATAAACTCAAACCCACTGCCTTCAAGTCAATTCTAACTCATAGTTTGCCCTCTACAGTAAAACTGCTCCTGTGAGTTTCTAAGGCTGTCAATCTCTACAGGAACAGAAAGCTTCATCTTGTTCCCCTTAGAGTGGCTGGTGGATTCAAACTGCTGACCTTGCAGTTAACAGCCCAATGTGTACCCTGCTATGGTACCAGGGCTACTTAACACTAAGCATTGATGGATCTGAGAAACAATCTCAACTCTTAGTACTCAAGTACAAGTGAGTCACTTAACCTTTCTGGATTTGAATGGCCTCATTTATTAAATGTAGACCCTGGATTATATGATATTCCCTTAGCTTGTAAGACATCACTCTACTGTCCAAAATAAATTGCACATATTTCAGATTTAGTGTGACAGCTCATTTTATGTGTCAACTGGGCCATATTATGGTACCCAGTTGCTTGATCAAAACACTTGTAATGTTGTAATGAAATAGTTACATGTGTTTCAATCCACTGGGTTCACAGTAAACTTCACTAACGCAGACCACTCTTCCTAATGTAGGTGGGCCTTATCTAATCAGATGAAGGTTTTAGGAGCAAAACAGGTTTCCTGAGGGAGTAATCTGCCTCCAGACCACAGACGGGCATCTTACCAGAATTCCTCTCACCCTCACTGCCCCATCTACCTTCAAGTTTCAAGACACAAGATTTCCTGAATTCCAACCTGTTGCCAGCTACAATTACATAAGTCATCTGTGTGTGTGTGTCTCTCTCTTTCTCTCTCTCTCTCACACACACACACACACACACACACACGCACGCACGCACACACACGCGCACGCGCACGCGCACGCATGCACACACACACGCACGGCTATCTGAGCGGTCGAATTCTGAGCCTACCTTGTTTCACAATTTCTCACAAGTTTTCCACCTTTGACCGAGTATATTCTTGCCAACTTCTCTATCCTCTCTATCACTGGAAAATATTTGGGTTTCCTTCTCTAACAGGTCTCTGCTTTATATTGAGTCCAGCATTCACAGGTTTTACTATTGACAGATGATAGGTCATTTGACCAACTGATTTATCGATCTATAGAGAGATACATATTACTAGTTATATTTCTCTGGAGAACTCAAAGACCTTTAGCTATAGCGCCTTTTCTATTCTCCAGGAAAAGTAAGTTCCCTCTGATATTTAGCGCCTGAATCAAGTTAACACAAGTCCATTTCTTTCTGTACCAGGGTTTAGGGTGGGCTGCGATGTTCTAGGGAGAGAAAAACAGGGGACTCTGATCCCCTATCCCTGCTCAGCAGAGCAGCCTGGGCACGCCTGGTACTTGCTTGCCTGTATGTGAAGGGAAGGTGACTGACTAGCAGGGAGACCAGGGGAGTTGGTGGGGAAGGGGTGTATTCTGTAATGTGATCCAACCTCCTGTGGAGTTTATCACCAATTAATAGAAGAAAAAATGTTTCATAAAGTTTAAATAGTAGTGGAGGAATTCTAGCATCCATACATTCAGTCTCAATATTTCCTTAACTAAACAGAGTGAACAGGAGGTGGGTCACTAGGCGACCTTCACAGGTTGAGCTAATGAGCAACACGTGGCAAAACAACACACATTTCTGGAAAGTCCCATCTGTCAAATCCCAACCCAGCTCACCCTACCTTGACAAAAGGTGTTGTTCACCCGCTTATAACCTTGTAGACATTCCATCATTTGGTTGTGTCCATGATAAGCTGTAAGAAAAGAAATGATTCTCTGTTAAGTGTTTAATTTAAATCCTGACCAGCCTACATTACTACATGGAATCATCAGAGCAATGTAAAGTATATTTTGTCATTTCTAATGTAAGCACACAGCTCCACAATTTCTTCTACATTCTTTGTCAACATACTTCATGTTTTGCAATAGATACAGTCCCAAGAAAGTATGAGTACATCTTTATTATGGAAATCGTAAGGCAGTTTTGTATTTTCTTCCAAGTGGTGACTATGCATTTATATTTCAATAGTTATGATTGACTACTCACTAATGCTCAACTTCAGGAATTTGACTTTTCTTACTCATCACAGGCAAGGTTTGCCAGGAACAATTCAGGGTTATGCCTGGTATTCCAGCAAAGATAACTAATAGCACTCATATCACCCTCAGCCCAAGTTTACATAATAAATGACATGCTTGCCTTAAGTGCAGCATCGTGTACCTGCAATATAAGCTGATTCTTACTATGATGAACATGGGAAAAATAGGCAGGTGATTAGAGGAAACAATGAGAGTTTAAAAGTTGTAACTAGTTGGATGGTTCATCACTCAGATACCAACCAACGACAGAAAACATTGCAGTCACCAGTCTATCAACAAAACTCTTATTCATTTAGGGGTTGCTATCTGAAAGTCAGGCCTGAGAGGACACGTGGCATCAGAGGACGCAACACAAGATTGAGGACCAGGCAGACCTGAGTTCAAATCTTGGCTCTGCCTCCCAATTGCACTCAAAGCCTGGGAGAACAGTCGTCCTGGGTTTCAGACTGCAATTCTGTACAGTGGGGTTTATTCACATCTACTAGGCAGGGCGGCCTTGTTGGGAAACATAGATACCCTTCCTGAAAAACGCTTCCACGGTGCTTGGTGTTTTCCTAAATGATGAAGGTCATTCCCTGCCTTAACGTATTCTTTCATTGAAGGGACAATGAACAATAGCAATTGGGCTGTAGCAGGCATCCTTCTGCCTTTGTGAATGAGCAGTATTGAAAGTTCTGCCCTATTGCCAACCCTCATTGCTTGTGAAAATAGTGTCCAGTCATCTAAGATGGTAATGTGTACAAATCATATATATATCCCTTTCCTCTACAGGGTTTTAAATTCTAAATCATTGGCTAAAAGAAGAGTCATGTCAACAGAACTACCATATCCCCCCTAGGGATGATTTATAATCTTCTCCAATGGAATGAGATTGGCTCCAGAGTGAACTAGGGGCATATATAAACCACAGAAATATGAACGGAGTTTGAGCTCACACGTAATCATAGCGCAAATCTAAAAACAACTAGCTTCTATGACATGGCCCTGCTCAATACTGCCCCTATGACGAGATGACTGACACTATGGATACTAGAGCCAATGTGGTGACGAAAGTGGATGATGTCCGGCCAGCAGAAAGAATAGCATCTGGAATCCTAAGGTTTGTCTTAAAAGAAGTAGCTTCATTAGCTACGTCCATATGGAAGAAGCACACCAGCCTGTGTGACCCAAGTCTTGTAAATAATAAACGCTAACTCCAAAGAGGGACCAGTATTAGAACTTAAATTCTGAACACCTGGCTGGCTGAAGCCTGTGGATGAGCGTGAAAGCCCGACACGCAACTACCGGGTCTCCGAGAGGGAAGAAGCCTCTGGTGAATGCCCTCAGACGCTGGGCCAGCGCGGGAAGGGCCTTGTTTTCTAACAGAGGGCACTGTAAGATGGATCACTGTAGTGGTAGCT